AGCTACTACCGAGAAGGCTCTCCTCTGCGTAGTTGCCAGTCTGCACTGACTGGCAGATGGAACTCGGAGGAGGCCTAATCTATATGATCTAATTGGTCGCGAGGAGGTAATTGGCAGAAGGCGGTCTCTCAATTTGTTTAGCACAAGACCCAAATCAATCAGCAGGATATATTTCTAAATAAACCTATGTTGAAATAACAATAATTCAGGCCTATTAAATAAACGACGCAATCTGAATGGAGACATAAAGAATGTCTATCTTCACTTTTCATATACGTACTTCAGATTATTATGAAGAGACTATTATAGCTCTATTCAGACATATCTAATCTCCCTGATATTGAAAGGGACCCTGCAATCCCTTGCTTTGGGGGGTGGGGTCTGGGCAACTCATTGGAATTGAGTGTTTATTGGCCAGGCGCCCTTCCTGATGCCTTTGCGGAGTTCGTAGCAGACAATTACTCATTGCACCCAGAGAGAGAAAGATCTGTTGCTATCTAGGATGGAATCCAAAGTCTCTTGATGGTGAGACAAGAGCTACCCCTCTAGGCTCCCTGATATTGAAAGGGAGTAAAAGAATGGAAATGTGTGAGACCCTTAGGGTGGGAACTATCTATTATAAAAGCTAACCACCAAGACCACACATAGACCCTCTTTAGATTTCCCATTGGAATACTAACCTGAAATTCATCCAGAAAAAGCCTTCCTTCATCGGCTATTTTTCTCTTATAAGATTCCCACAATAACTCCGCAGGAATGGGGTCTATGTTTTTCATGTGTCTTTCATCATCTTTAAAAGAGGTAGAAACACTTCCAGGTAAGTATAGGTGCATTGCTTCTGATCGGTATAATGAAACTGTAAATTTAATACATGCCTGAGCACATGTGTCAAAATTATTGAATGGGTTTGCTGCCCTGAATTCAATGAGCTAAGCTTTAAAACTTACTACCAAATTATTCAATCCAAGGACATTTAATTCACTTACGGCCTATGCATTTAAGCCTTCATAATAACCATAGAGAAGTGAATAAAACAGAGCTTGAAATTAATATGGTCGTGGAACTGTAATTTATAACAACAGTTTTTCCATCTTTCCTTCTGGAGCCTTACATCTGCCAAGGTTGAGGACACTGATATGAAGGAAGCACACATTTTTCCTGTACTTCTTCCATTTTTCAGAGGTTATACGTGGGAATTACTTTTAGATACTGTTTTTAACATTCTTCAATGGTACTAATTGCATTTGTTTTTTTAAAAAAAATCCTATGTAGCTACAAGGGCTTTGAAATTTGTTTTGATCAAGGATCAGGAAAGAATTAGTCTTTTCCCACATATTGTATAGTTTTTGTGATGCTAATCAGGCCACATTCTATTTGCAATCCAGCCTGAATTAGAGCAAGATGACTTTTATGTCTTATTGAAATTGGTTCTCGTTTACAAAGGAAAAAAAAGTCTTTTAGAGTAGCTAGTTTAGCACATGTGTTCTTTGTGTTAGAAACTCTTGAAAAGGCTCTAAAGAAATGTGAAATTATGCTGAAATGAACTTTAGGTTCACTGCTTAAAATGACATCATAATAAAGCTAAAACTTCATTTTGGAGCAAATAAGATAAAGAGTGGCCCCCACTTTTCATGGTTATTTTCGCAATAATAATGAGGGTGTGCTAATTACATTGATATATAGGCCATGTGTCCACTGGTGTAAGAAGGAATGCTGAAAGAGACAACATTGTGCTTAGAATTTCTTTTTTAAAATTCCCTTTATNGGTCTCTCAAGTACCCAGGTCCAATACCATGAAGGGCTTTATAAGTGACGTCTAGCACCTACTCCATTATAAAGATGAAAGCATTATATATGCAACAGGCACACCTCAAAGCATGTCCAAATACCTCTAAAGGTGGTACTTACCCACAGTGGACAACAAGTGGGACGCTCTTGCCCTTGTTGATCAAATGCGCTTCAGCTCCATCTTGGGATGAAAACTTCTGTTTGAGATTCTGGATCATGGTGATTAAATCTTGGGGGGTTTCTGGGAGATCAGAACTATCCCACTTATGGTACTGATACTGAAAGACTTTCCTGCTCTCTTTCCTCTGTAACAAATGCCAGAACAAGACAATCTACACATGTTTACTTGTACATGCACAAAGATCAAAATATCCGAACCCGGAAGGTCCGCCATAATGCTGACCCAAATGGTGACATTTGCCGCTGAAAGCAAAAGGCTTCCTCAAAAAACTACCTAAACCCTTAGGAGCTATGAATTTCTTTCCTGAGATTATGAAAGTCTTTAATTGCTTAGTGCTTTGCTCCAGTTTTGTCAAATAAAAACACGAGTTGACATTTCTGTCGCTGTGTGGGGGCATCTTCTGCCTGCAATGGAGACAGAATTCTCCTCAATCCAACGTTTCCACATAAAGAAAAACACCAACCTGCAACTAGATGTAAATGACACAAACTTTTTAAGAGGGATTTCGCACTAATATGTAGGTGACTCTCACAGACCTGTTCTCCAATGTCTCATTGACTAGGCTGTTTCTAAAATTAATAAAGGCAAATAAATATGTACCAAGATTTTGTTGCAGAATCTGATCTGGGTCGGTTACTGGGAGGTTTAATCTTCCAAGTTTCGGATTCATGCTGGAGCCAATCCTCAGGGAAATTCTCTCAGGCGGGATGTGTTGGAGTGAAGTTAGAAAGAAATTCCCCGAGGATGGACTCCATCGTGAGTCCTAAAGCTTGGAAGACTAAATATCTGGTCCCAGATTAGATCCAATACTTGCTGGTTTGTACTTTCGTTTTCTCTAGTAACAGGTCAATCCTCACAGCTTTTTTTGTTATTGTTTCTATTTCTGTTCGTGTGTTCAACCATATTGAAATGGCATACTTGAAAGAGACACAACAAAATAAAATTATTTAAACATAAAAATAAATTACTGCAAAAAAACAATCATACATAGGCTAGGGGAAGGAAGGGAAGGGACTCCACATCCTGGTTTAAACTCAAGATACATTCCTAGTATGTTGGAGATCATTAGAATCCCCCAGAAGATATGGTCAAGGTTCATCAGGTTGGCTGGATCGTAATACTTGAAGTCTAGCACAGCTGAAGAGCATCAGGTTGAGAATGGATGCTAAATATGCCTTCTTCCTACATGCTACATTAAATCATTGGAACAACTATAGGTTGTCTCCAAGCTGTGTGCATTAAAATAAATAGCAATAGCAGTTCGACTTATATACCGCTTCATGAGGCTTTCAGCCCTCTCTAAGCGGTTTACAGAGTCAGCATATTGCCCCNTAGAGATGGTTAACAACAACCAACTAAACCTGACTTCCCCCCCCCCCCCCAATATGACTGCTAGCTAGATACATACTTGATCATCTTTGTACAATTGATGGAACTGGAGTAAATTAATCCCTAGTGATGGTTGCCATGAACCAGCTGAAGGTAAATCCAGGAAACTTAAAAACTTTGGTTATTTTGCACGCTCTTATTCGCATAAGGAACTCATTGAGCTCCAGGACAGAAAGAATAATGGATGGGCGAGTCATGATGTAGAATGGGAAGGAAACTCCCACCCCAGTTTATTTTGTGGTATGGAATGGCACCACCATTTCCGCTTGGTGGTCTAATCAGAAAAAAATAGAGGTAGCAATGATTGTATTAATTCATTTCTATGTACTACTCAAAGTCAGAAAGATAATACGAACCTTGTGCAGCGATGTATTTTTTCAATTCTTTAAAACCCTGTGATAGAAAGTCACATATTATTACCCTGCAGGTATGGATGGGCTCAGAAAAAAACAAATATTTGCGCAGTCTAAGAGTTAGAAGACAAGTCCTATGAGTTTGCGCATTTTAAATGAAAGTCACTCACATCGATATAGCTTGCATTGATGTAGTCGTATCCTTGCTCCCCGGGGCTTGAGTTAAGTTCCACGCGATTGTAATCATCTTTTTATATAGGAACAAAAGATCAAGACCGAGAATGTCAATCAATCGATATTGTTAGTCTGTTACAATTTTTGGGAGCGGGTGGGGGGAAGTTGAAAGGTTAATGTTTGCATGATGTGGCTTACATGGGAGGATATCGATGTAACGATTCTTGTTCTGGTTATAAGGCTTGCGTGCTTCTCTTATGGGGTATTTACTGAAGACTCTGGGAATGCTCTGCAAAAGACAATAAGTGTCTGTGCCAAAGACTTTGGGTAAAAAAAAAAAACATTATAAACTCAGACAAAGAGGATGACCCACTGAAAGCCTGGTGGATTTTATTTCTTTTTTTTGCTAGCTATTCTGAATCCAGTTTTCTATTTCCATTTTAGTTTTTTTTAGTTTTAAAGTTTATTTATAGGCCGCCCTTTTCCCTGGGGGGACTCAGGGCGGCTTACAACTCATAGGGAAGGGNTTCCCAAACTTGGCAACTTTAAGACTTGTGGACTTCAACTCCCAGAATTCTTTAAGACTTGTGGACTTCAACTCCCAGCAGAGCTGGCTGGAGAATTCTGGGAGTTGAAGTCCACAAGTCTTAAAGTTGCCAAGTTTGGGAACCACTGACATACTGGAATAATGGATGTTTCAAAAGTGGGATATATTTTTTTCAAGGAAAGGGACGAATAAATAACACAATGGATGTTTTCTGCTCACCTTGTTGCCTTCCTCACAGCGAGTCACCATGACAACAATGGTGGCTTTTTGTTCCCAGATCATTCTCCAGAAATCATCTATGGTCTCTTCCTTGGGACCTGCCAAAAATATTGCTTTGATCACAGGAAGCATTTCAAGGTGATAATTAGGGACGGGCTAATTTGTCACCTGAAATGTCACTACATTTTCCTTTCTCCAGCCCTAAATGGATTGCATCTCATAGCTTCTTTGGGTTTTCCACAGCATGAATATTTGCAAAAGTGTTCTTTTTCTGTGGTTAGCAGAACATTACTTTCTCCAAATCGAACTAGCACGGAAGAAACACACATGCAAATATTCATATAGTCATGTGTTTTTGTATATTTTAATAATAAACATTTATTAAACCTGTATATCACCTGACCAGTGGTGGGTTTCCATTTTTTTTACTACAGGTTCACTTATGCGCTCACTCACGCTGGTGATGCTTCTGCACATGTGCAGAAGCATCTGAATGGGTGGGCGGAGCCTCCCACCGCCACTCCTACTGGTTCACCTAATCGGGCCGAACCAGGAGCAACCCACCTCTGCATCTGGCTCTGGGTGACATTTTTTTCCTAATACATGCTTGTTTTAGAAGGAATTTTCATTAATATCCACAGATATGTACTTAATTTTATTTACAGGACTCATAGGTCATTTCAATGCATTTGGCATTTGTCTGTAATATATGTATAGTGCACTAACTATTTACTTTTTATCTGAAACATCAATAATATTTGGCAGAATCTACTACAAAGTTCTTTCAAGACCTGTTTTAAGTAGATTGTACTGAAATGGTTTGGATAGTTTTTTATGTGCCTTCAAGATATAGGTATCCAAAATAAAGGCAATTAAGTATTTTCTGATTGGGTACTACATTCTGGAATTTGGCTAAATAAAATTTGTTGACTCTCAGCCTTTCAACTAATTTTGAATCAATTAACAGACAGGATTGGAGAATACTGCACAATTTCATATAGTCTAATTTTAGTTTGCTGAAATTCCATAGCAACCTTTGAATTAATGTGAAAAGAAATGAAATTGCTGTTCTTAATTAGCACATAATATCACATTAAGACTTTTAAACTGTATTATAACTTTAAAATTCTACAGGTTTGGCATTTTTATTATTTTCCCCTTTCCTTTGTGTTTTATTTGTAACTGTTTATTTTTTATTCTTCTCTATTTGTTTTATATTGTTTTCACTCAATGCCATTTATTTTAATCAAGCATAATTTCTAATTAAAGAACATAAATTAAGAAGATGAAATGGTATTTATTATGACGAGTTACCTAGAGACCAAAATCACAGTGAAACCCAATGTAAATATTGTCAGTTTTTGTATAACAAATATTATATGCAACAAAAGAATATTTTTTTTCATATAATGTTTCTATGGTTTTTTTAATTACTTGGTTTTTCCTTTTATATATTATTTCTACATAATACACCCACACATACAAACACACACGCTCACAAATGCATACAAATATTTCAGTTGGAATATGGAATAAGTATATATATGTACACATACTCACTCTCACTCTCTCTCTCTCTAACACACACACACACACCATATTCCAAGTGAAAAAAATAACCCCAACATAAAATATGAGGGTTCTTTGCTTCTCTCTGAGCTGGACCAAGCTGAGATAACAACAAGGAAACCTATTTCAGCCCTGAGCTGTAAATATTCTCCTTTACTGATAAAATATTTACTATTAATTGCTACTAAGTCAAACATCTTTTAAATCTTTCAGAAAGTGAATTTCAGGGTTCCTGATTTTTAAAATGTTTTTAACTATTTTAATAGTTTTCTGGATTTTGTAAGCTATCAAGACCCAGTTGGAATGGGCGGTCATAACAAAAACACAAATAAATCCTTAGAGATGGTTAACAACAACCAACTAAACCTGACTTTCCCCCCCCCCCCCCAATATGACTGCTAGCTAGATACATACTTGATCATCTTTGTACAATTGATG